GAGGGTGTTGGATTTTTTCAAGTGCTTTACCTGGGTTTATTGATTTGAACATTTGGTTTTTCTTCTTTAACCTGTTAATGCGATAGGTTACAATACTTGATTATTGAATTTTGAAACAGCTGTGTACACTTGGGTTAAATTTCACTTGGTAACGGGTGCGTGGCGTTTTCTGTGTGTTCAGTGTACCGTATCCTGTTGCGAGTTTGAGAGAGAATGTCTATAGCTTTCTTTTTTGTAATGTCTTTGTCTGGTTTTGATATTAGGGTGATGCTGGCTTCATAGAATGTGTTAAGTATTTCCTCTGCTTTTATCTTTCAAAAAAGACTGTAGAATATCGGCACATTGGCATGATTTCTTCCGTACAGTTCGGTAAAATTCACCAGTGAGTCCATCTGGGCCTGGTGCTTTCTGTTTCAGAAGGCTCTTCCTTGCTGGTTGAATGTGTTTAGTAGAAGTCGGCCTATCCAGTCTGCCCATTTCTGTGAGTTTCGGCAGGTTGTGTCCTTTAAGAAACTAGTGCATCTCATCTCGGTTACCAGAGTTGTGAGTGAAGAGCGGCTCGTATTACCCTCACGTATCCATGAGATGTGACACTCCGTCTTTCGTTTTTGGTATTAACAATTTGTATTCTTTTTTTCCCCCTCAGTCTGTCAAGAGGCTTATCCATTTTATTAATCTTTCCAAAGAACCTGCTTCTATTAACTTTATTTTCTCTATTCATTTTCTCTTTTCAGTTTCACTGATTTCTGCTCTAATCTCGATGATTTCTTTGCTTACTTAGGACTTACTGTGCTCTCGCTTGCTAAGGTGAAACTGAGATTATTGATATTAGACCTTTCTTCTTTCCTGATGTATGCATTTAATGCTATATATTGTCTCTGTGAACTATCAACACTTTCACTCCATCCCATACATTTTAGTAAGTTGTGTTTTCATTTTCATTTAGTTAAAAATATTAAAATATTCTATTTTGTGATTTCTTCTTTGACCCATGTATTACTTAAAATGATGTTTTCTTAATCTTCCTGTATTTTGGGGCTCTCCCAGCTATGTACCTGTTACTGGTTTCTAGGTTGATCTTACTGTCAGAGAGCAGACAGTGTATAATTTCAATTCTTTTACATTTGTTGGCAAGCGTTTTATGGCCCTTAATGTGAGTCTTGGCAAATGTCCCACATGAGCCAGAGGAGGAATGCGGTTCTCACATAACTGTCGTCCTTGCTCTTCTGTGGGGAAGACCTTTTTTCCCTTTGCCGTCTTTCAGGCCTTTTCTCTCTTTGATTTTGGCGATGTCAGTATAACAGACCTCGGCGTTGGGCCGTTTATTCTGTCTGTAGTCTTTGAAGTTCCTGGGCCCGGGGCTTGGTGACTGACATCGACTAGGGGGAGTTCTCGGTCATTATCGCTTCGAATATTCCTTAGGTTCTGTCTCCCCTTCTTTTCCTAGCATACCCCATATGCGTATCTGCAGTCGCCACGTAGTTTCTGTGTATCTTGTCCCTATTTGCTCTTTAACGTTTGTAGTTTCTGCTGTAGTTTCTTCAAGCTTGGAGATGCCTCCCTCGTCTCTGTCCAGTCTACAAGTCAGCCTGTCCAGAGCACGCTTCGCTTCTGTCACAGTGCTTTTCATCTGGAGCATTTCTTTCGGATTCTTTTCCTGTATCTGTGCTTGCATTGCTCACCTGTTGTCACATGCTGTCTACCTTTCCTAGTTTAAGCTCTTAGCACAGAACCACAGTTTCTCTTCCAGCCATGGTCTCGGCAAGCAACCCGGCTGTCCCCCCCTTACCCGCTTGCGCCCTCGGCTAAGCAACCTGGCTGTCCCCCACCTTACCTGCTCGCGCCCTTGGCTAAGCAACCCGGCTGTCCCCCCCTTACCCCTTGCGCCCTCGGCTAAGCAACCCGGCTGTCCCCCCTTACCCCTCGCGCCCTCGGTGCAGAACCACAGCTCAGCTCTTCTGTACTCCTAGTCTGATCACTCAACAACCCTGCCATACCTGAATTCGGCTCTGACGCTTTCTCTGCCTCTTCAAACTGTTCTGCCTTTCAGTATACCTTGTAATTTTTTCCTGATAGCTGGACATGATGTACTAGGTAAAAGAAGGTGTTGTAAGTACACCTTCTGTAATGCGGTGGTAAGGTGTGGGCGGACATAGGGCACTGAGGCCTTGAGGGTCCGCGGGTGGTTTGTGGAGCGCAGCC